AAAAGGAAGATTACAAGAACATGATTTATGTAGCAGCTGTACGCCAACTAGGAAATGAAGATTTTCAGTTACTAGGCTGTTCTTTACTTTTGGAATTGATAGTGTTCTCTGAGCTCCTTGGTTTAATTGCGGAGCTTTCATTGTCTTTCTGGACGACATCTTCAGCGCAGTATTTAGGATAAAGTGAAATGATTTAAATTTCTTCATGAGTTCTTTACTTTTATGAGTAAATGATGTTGCAAATTAGACAATGGGAAATCGGAGGGGGAGGGGGGAACTCCCGATTCCCATATAACTGATACAACACAAAGCCAAAACCGCCACAAAAAAGAATGCTAGACGAATCTCTATAGTCTACATACACATAAAAACAGTTTATTTTATCGATGCACGATCACATGAAATAGAAGGCCATAAAACGACATCTTGATTGCCCTTTCAGTATTCCTTTCTACTTTATTTCTAGCAACTTCGGGGAAAAAATAAGTGTAAATCTGAAATTCATCGAGTAACAACGCATAGTTCATTTTATCCTCACTCAAAACAGAAAGCAGCAGCCTTCACAAATAAAAGTACAAATTCATTTACTATTTTGGTGTTATAACGATAAATGACCTAGTAAAAAAAATGGCGTGATCAGCTTAGTTAGCAGTCGTATCATTTACTAAGATAAATAGACGGACGGACGGACACACACGCACACTCACACGATATCGCATACGAAAAATAACAACAACCAATCAACTAAGCTGATTTTACATATCAGTAAACAAGGTGTTGATTGTGAATTAGAATTTCAATGTTTTCACCTTTCGCAAATAGAAACACATAGATTGGTAGATGGTGACTAGCAGTGGAATTCAGGATGCATGTTTTGTCCTATTTGGGAGTCGCGTCAACTAGATGTACCTGCACAATCCTCAATGAGTGATTGTATTCCTACTGAGGCTTGAACCCAGTACCCATCGTTTGGATTGCCAAGGCGTTATCCACCAGACCAAGAGAGTCACGTCTTGTGAAATGGGTATCAGTTATTACTTAATTCAATTTAGATTTCCCCGTTGAATGGAAGTACATCCAGCTGACGAGTCCCAAATAGGATGAAATATCCATTCTAGATTCCACAAATTACTTCAATTCTTCAGAGATATTGCCGAAGCATCCGCACAAGGAGCCAAACGAAATAGACAGTTGTTGATGAAAGTCTACAATAGCCTCTTGGAAATTTTTTTGGTGACGCATACGTCAAGTCTCTGATCTATGCAGAAGAAATGACCTGACAATAATGTTGAAAATCTGAATCTTGCCACTTATACTAACCAACTTGAAGACCAATACTTAGTGGTGCATACTTCTCCTCAAATGTTTAAGCATCATATAGAGAGGCGTGAAACGATTCTAACCGTTCAACTATAAAACACAAGTCTTTATGTATCCGAAGAAACAACAGTCAGCAGGAGCATCGATTTGAGGGCATAGTATCTGCCGTCATATCATTTCCCTACCTCCCACCTGTTATTCATTTTTGTTGATTGTTTTTCTCCGGTTATTATCTATCTCCATTAGGGATCCAACTCAGGAACATCTCGTAAGTACCTTACCATCAGCGGTATGGTGCAATGCTGGTAAGTGAAGAAAATTGTCTGCTACTTCCTGGTCCTGTGAAATTTACCGAAAGAACAGTAGATAGCTAGAAAAAATCAATACTTCAGATTTATTTTCATACAAAAATCGCCGTTGGTTTTTACACCTGATTAAGGATATTTTTATATTATTTCCTAAGTTTAATTCAGCATATTTCAGACTGACTGACTGGTTTCAGTGTAGAACTTTGCACCGACGTGCAGCAGTCCGAGTAACATACAAAGCAAGCGAAGAGAGATAATAAACAGATTTATGAGGTAAAAAGAATAGTAATATGGAAGAACAATTGAATTTTATTGGATATGACAAATCACAAAGAGTGAATGAATATGCACCAGCCATTGAAAACAATTTTGAGCCATATCACCAATTGTCCCAAGTCATTGGTGCTTACTATCCTGAGGACCTCAGCTGAACAGCGGTCCACACCTTCTTACGTAGCTCAAACTAACTGTTGTGGATTTCATTCACTGATGAAGCCACGTTTTCGTTTGACCACCACCAAAACCTCTTTTCCAACAACAGAGTTTACCAAGCAAGGAAGGTTTAGTGTGATGACCAATTGTTGCTTTGAATGCATAAAGGTGGTTTAAACTTTCTAATTGCCAGCTAGGGCTTCCACAAACTTCAGGATACGTCCAAAACACGATTTACAGATAAGTTCAAAAGACGTGGCGTTGGTGGCGCAGCGTTAGGACGCTCGCCGACTATGCATATGGTCCGAGGTTCGATCCCCGGCCGACGCACTCCTTTACGTCGCTAAGCCAGAAATAATGCTGGTAAAGAGGAAAGGTTGGGCATAAGGCTAGCAACCCCATCCTGTAAAAATGAACACTGCTACAGAAACTTCAAGCCACTAGCTTGAAGCCCTATGTTCCACTGGGAACGTGAAGGAAAAATTTATTATTTAAAAGACGTGCAAACATCAATTTATGTCCTGTCTATATAATATGTTTCACAATAGAGGAGCTAGGTCTCCCATTCTCACCATTAGTGGGCTTTGAGGTTACTATTCGCTTCTGAAGATACTTAGGAATCTGTTCTGAGGCCCTTACTTACAGAGATCGATGAGTCCTCCCTATGTATGTGTGGCCATACATACATTTAAATTCGTAAATACAGTGGGATGTGGCATTATTTTTCGCATGTTCTAAGGGCCTAGATGGATATATCGACTTCACATTCTCAATTATTATGATCTCAGTTGCATGAAACGTCTTTTTTACCGCAGCAGTGTTCAATCTTTGTCTAGTTGTCAAGCTGCTATGATCACCCATACAGGGTAGTTTGATATATACATCTTTATCAGAAACAATTTGGGTGATCTGAACACTTCATTATCTCCTGATGAACTTGTCTGGGTAATTATTATCATAAATTGACAATAAATTCTTAAACTTCACTCAACGATTTTATCTTATCTCATCTTGTAATCTTATTGACCATACGTCTTGTTATATGCATTTGTGAACGATAATCAAGTCTAACTGACTCTTATTATTCCATCTTATACTTACATTGTAATACAGTAATTCTAATTTGTCTTAACTGAGCTGTTGTTAATGTACACAGCCTGAGGAAGAAGCTATTGTAAAGAAAGAAAGAAAAAACTGTTCGCTCTGAATATCCAATTATTTTTATACTGGAGATACATCAAATGATCACATTCAAATAATTAGATCTCATTTTCCATATGCACATTTAGTCAATAAATAATTGAATTCATCATCCTAGGTCACAAAGTAAGTAAATAAATACAACTCATCACACACAGCTTTGTACTCTTGAATTCTCCATCTCTCTATTTTCACCTAATTATTTTTGAATTCTCAATAAATTAATAGCTTCTAATTTTATTATTTTTTTTAAAGAAGATGAGAACAACAGTGAAAAAAAGACAGTGTCTAATATGTAGGTCAGATGTCAAAACTGATTGATGCAAAATAACCAATTAGTTTAGCGTATCTCAAGGTCAACAAGTTAAATATGCTGAAATTTGATTGGCTGTTAATTTGCATTTATTAAGACTATGAGAAAAATAAACGTGGCAATAACAAATGCACTTTACAATGCACAGTTGGTTTACGAGCGAACATGCTAATTAATTATGTATATATTATAAGATCAACATTGCCAAAGAGTTCCAAACTAAGACAAGGAAACCTGTCCAAGGCATCTTGGTTTTCAGTGATCTCTCTAATTTATGTAGCTTCATGAAGACATCTAACAAATGAAATACACTCGAATCCCTACAGAATGATACAAAATCTAAATACCTAACTCTATCTCACTACTGATGACTATTGGATGAGTGTCCAGAAGCAGTGTCCTAAGAAATTATTTGTGGTCAGAGAGGTCAATTATGTCAACGCGAAGTGGATACTCATTAAAGGCACTGGTCCCTGAGAGAGTCCTATCACGACCCCTGGTGGGACCGTTGGTGTACACTGAGTCACATACTACGACGAAACAACTGTACAGTATGCACTCTGGTTTTTAATGATCTCTAACTGGTGATAGATTGCCACGAAATCTAACAAATGAAATTAGTGCAAATCCCTAAAATATATCATGATCTAAATTATATGACTTTTCATACACACACGTGAATTATTTAGGATGAGCAAAAATGTCTGAGAACAGATTAGACAATTAAAAAAAAAGAAATCATGACTACTGAGTGAAATTTTTTATCCAAAATGACTGCATCGATAACTTGAAGCACGCATAATAACGGTGAAGGTAAAATACAGCAGTCACAAAATGTCTTCAAGTTAATAGTCGTATCACTAGTCACATAAATTCAGTGTAAGTTTTGCTTCGGCAGCTTTCCACCGATGAAGGTTAACAGTTAGATTAGGATTAACAGCCCTAGTCTAATCATTAACCGTAAACCCTTTTGACGTGGAACTTTGCAGAGAAGTGCAGTGATCCTCCAAGTTACCAAATTTTATAAAAGCTAACATAAAGGTATGAAAAACAATGAAATTTAATAAAATAGGAGAAAGAACAGTTGAATGAAGAATACTGAGGATTAAATACGTCTAGGATTTGAAAAGGAGTGAATACATCTGCACCAATGCGAATGATTTCGAGCCAGGTCACCACCATTGGATCTTAGAGACTCAATGACCCCAGCTAGGCAGTTTACATCTGCTTACATGACTAAAATACAGAACAGTCAAAGACAATTGTAGACAACTACAAGTATTACCAGTAACCACGACAAAAAAAACTCGAAGCAATTGACCTATTTTATCAATGTGTGAAACTAAACGACAAAAGCATATACTATACACAGATAAATTTTCAAGCAAAGTGTAGACAGCCATAAATAGATAAGCAGAATGACTTACTAATCTGCGTCGTTTCTTATTCCAGCCTTCAGCTCTTCTTCGAGAGTCCGCGCGACCAGAGGCTATATTACGCACACAAAAAAAAGAAAATAAGTTGAAATAATATAGAACTAGGATGAGTGTTATTAATATTATTATTGACAATATCTGTTGTTATGACACAGACTGACTGACTGGTTTCATCATAGAACTTTGAACAGATGTGCAACAGTTCCAGTTGCCACAATCTCTCCATATAGCACACAAAGAAATAGCAGAGAGTAGAGAAAGATTCAAAAGACAGAACAATGAACACAATTGTGAGGCAAAAAGAACAGTAATATGGAAGAACAGTAAGTTTTTAATGGATATGACAAATCACAAAGAGTGAATGCACCTGAGCTGCCATACAGGACGATTTTGAGACATATCATTGATTGTTATGACACAGGAGATTAGTTAGTATCGGATGGTTTTGAGAAATGTGCGAAAATGTATCTGAATAAAGCAAGAACAACCGTTTGTACAGAATAAAAAAAGATACAATTATTTATTTCGCTGACTTCTCATCAGCTGCTTGCAGCCTAAGGACATTATTAATTTTATGTACAGAAACAATATTAGCATACTCACCAACAGAGTTCAAGTTTAAACAAAATATCAATGTGTGTATATAATGGTAATAGTAATACGAATCACTTTATTCTAAACAATGACAGTAATACAGAATGAAATTTTCAGCATTACCTAATCAAGTGAAAAAGACAATTAAAGACACCCAGTTGCAAGGACTTTTTTGTCTATTGATAATTCGGAAGGACCTTGTGATGTCCGCTTCCTCATGACCCGTAGTATCCAGGAGATATCTGGCAAAGGTACTGTTGAAAGCGTTTGTTCCCTCGAGACGTATACCACCTGGTGCAATTGCAGAAAACAAGAGGTATGGTCTTCATTCTATTTTTTTCCAAACGTATTTCGTTGAGAATTTCCTTTTCCAACTAACAAATAAGGAACTGAATCAGTGAGTAGCCAAGTAGCATAGCGACTATACTTCTGGTTTGACAGACAAGCATTACTCGAAAGTAGCTAATTACCTCCATCTTCCGGGTAATAAAACTTAATTAATCATTTGTCTCTAGTGAATTGACTTACAACTAGAAAGAATTCATGGAAGAAAAGAAAGGAATAAATAAATCATTGAGACAGCTAATCAGTTGGATGATTAAATGACAGCCAGTAAAACTCTATTGTCATCGTTCACGACAAAATCGAAGCATTTAGACACACACACACATGTTTACTTTGTATAAACGGAATTCAACTATTTGAGATAGAAATAGAGATTTGCAAGGGGAGAAAAAGTTGACAAACAGTTGACATCGACTAAAGTAGAGTAAAAACAACATGACAAGTAGAATCTTGATAAACTTAGATGACAGTGTTGAGATTATTAAACTGAAACTTCAAATTCCTTTCTAAAAGCTTTTCATAATTCATTATAGCATTGAAAGTGACAATTCTTACAGACATGCTAATTGCATTAAGCCTTACTGATGATTAAGGTAGAAGAATTAACTTATTGTGTTATCTGAGTGTTGGTTTATGGCGATTTGATTGATTGGTTACAGGATTTCACCATGAACTGACATTGGTTAGAGAACCATTGGAAAACGTGGGAGAACTGGACAGCTGTCTCGTCCTAGTTTGGGACTCTTCATCAGTACGAACCCACCGGGGTTCGAACCCAGGATCTCCTGGTTACAAGGACATCTCGCATACTATTAAGAGACTGGAACCACGCTATAGGTATCACCACTTCAAATAATGCATGCAGGTGGGAGATCATTCGACAAGGCTGTGAAGTCACATCGGTTGAGATGGTTAGGACACATGTGTTACTCATGCACATCTAGCCGTCGCCTTCCTCGATAACGGGCAATGTTAGCTGACGTAGGATGGATCAGGTTGGAAAAGAGCTAGCCAGTGGTGGTGGTGGTCAAACGAAAACGTGGCATCATCAGTCAATGAAATCCATAACAGTTAGTTTAAGCTACCCATGTAGGGAGGTGTGGACTTCCTGGTTAGGATGGTAAAACCAATGACTGGAGACAATTGGTGATATGACTCAAAATTGTTCACGAATGACAGCTCAGGTGCATTCACTCTTTGTGATTTGTCATATCCATTAAAAACTTACTGTTCTTCCATATTACTGTTCTTTTTGCCTCACAATTGTGTTCATTGTTCTGTCTTTTGAATCTTTCTCTACTCTCTGCTATTTCTTTGTGTGCTATATGGAGAGATTGTGGCAACTGGAACTGTTGCACATCTGTTCAAAGTTCTATGGGGAAACCAGTCAGTCTGTCAATCAGTCATACAGATGAGTCATTGCCTTTGAAAAAAAGAAAGAAAGGAATTTTACGATAAAGTCAGATCATACCTAGTGAAGATTCAGTATTTATCCAGCAATTTATTTACATTAACTATGAGGTGAATGGAAATATGTCCAAATGCAAACCAATGAAGCATGGGCAAACACATGTTTGTGAGCATTGAAGCATAGAGGTGCCAGTAGTGTTCTGCAAATTGAAACTCTACGACTAACAGCACTAATACGATGAGTGAAGTAGTGAATACACTGAAATCTCATATAATCTCATATTATGGGTAAATTGTATTATGATAAAGTCCCCCGTAGTAGCATATATCTTTATGGACAGCTAGTTGGGAAAATCCTGTTCCTATTAAGATTTAATCCTAATGTAAAGATATGGTGGAGATATGTGAATGACATTTTCACGGTGTTAAAAATCACAACATATCTCTAGTTTCTTCACACACACACACACATAAACTCACTAGTAAAGGGAATAAAATTCATAATTGAATCTGAAAATGAACAAGGAGAATTAGCTATGTTACATAGTGAAATTAAAAGCACGGAAAAAAAGGTAAACTGAATACCAGAGTTCATCAAAATGCCAACGCATTTCGCTAATAGATATTTAGACTTTAATTCATCACCTAATCCGTTATCTGTTAAAGCAGGCTTAGTCAAATGTCTAACAAACAGAGCAATTGCACCCAGTAATAGAACAAAAAACCTAAATGATGAAATGAAACAGACAGAAGCGTTAACGTTAAACAACTATCCTATAAAATCCGTTAGAAGGATTAAAAAAGGTCAGAAGCAAAATGAAAATAATGGTAAAACCAATAACAATATAACATAAATAACAAAGAATATAAGGTATCTACACTCTTACCATATAACGAAGGGATATCTGAGGCCCTACGTAGGATTCTCAATAAAGCAGGAATTAGGTTGGCATTCAAACCTACAAACTCACTCAGTCAGGAAAAGCTCTGTAGGCTAAAGGAACCGGTGGATCCAATCAAACAAAATATTATCATTCACAAAACAACTTGCAATGACAGTGAAGTCAGCGACAAAGGCAAAACCAATCGATCGGGGTAGTCGGATTGTCAGAATATAAGAATTTAGCTAAGGTTAGAATGACTGGCCCCAAGAAGATAAGTAATTTAGAAAACCGCTCAGCGATTGCACTACATGCATTAACACACAATAGGGTGAGTGGGACAGAGTTAAAATTCTAAGAAGTAATCTAGGTAGGTGGAGAGAGAGGCTGATTACTGAATCCTGAGTCATTAAGTCTACAACCAACACATGCAACAGAAGTGATTCAAAGTAAATTCTGTCTGTTTTCGACATAGAACTTTGCACATATGTGCGGAAGTTCAAGTCGCCACATTCGTGTAGCACGCGAAGCAAGAGAGAAAGTACAAGAAAAGCAATAGAAACAGTGCAGGTGTGAGACAAAGGAGTAATAAAGAAATACAAAACAATTTCATTGAAGATCATAAGTCACAGGGAGTGATGCATCTGCGCCATTGAGAACGATTTTGAGCCATGTCACCAATTGTTTCCAACCATAGATTTTTCCGTCCGAGGACCCCACTGGAAGTACACCTTCCTACGTGGCTAAGACCAACTGTTGTGGATTTCATTGACTGATGCCAAGTTTTGTTTGACCGCCGCTAGCTTTTTCCAGCCTGACCCATATCCGCTAACATGCTCGTCGAGGGCGATGACTTGGCATACGTAACACATGTCCTAACCATCTCAGTCGATGTAGCTTCACGACTTCATCGATTGATTTCCCCTGTTTACCTAGAACTCTACGCCTAACCTCCATGTTGTCACCTTATTATGCCACTTTACACGGAAATAGACCAGAGATATGGAAGATACTGTTACCAGTCAAATCAGAGGATAATAAATGTTAAAATGTATTTCAATTCACTTTAATAACACTCTTACAAATTATTTATTTTTATTAAAAAAACATATTTCCCATCTTATGAATTAACAACATTCGTCCTAATTCTCATCGTATCATATTTATTGACAGCACTAATATTATTTCCCAATGTACTTTATCTTCCTTTCTGTTTCACACATATCTTTTATTGATTTTATTTATATGGCTAGTCAATTTTACTCATGTATAGAGATGACGTCAAAAGTTGTGTGAGTGCCTTGATATGATTATGAGTGGCAATAAATTGAGCTCGAAACGTGATCATCAGTAAATATTACTGCATAACACTGCCTGACTTTATCAAAATAAATTTTATCCATAATGGAATTATACTCTACCTAAGTGCCCAATTTTTATCCTTATATCAATAACTCATATTAACTAATTTAAAAAGTGAATCAACGGTTAACATTCATCCAGTGTACAACATATTATCTTGCATTTTGTGAATCTAAACAAGTGTATGGTTAACAGCTGCGTTCTCTGACTCAATACAGTAGGTTAGATAACTGACGGTAAAGAAGAAGCGACAAGGAGGACTATGACAATGAACGAATCCACAACCTTTTTCGCAACAAATATGCAGAAGAAGATGGATAAAATAAACGCGGAGAAAACCGCTGAGTGACAACATTATGCGTCAGGCCATCGAATGGAATTTGAATGGATAACCAAGATGAGTTCGGCAACAGTCAGAGGCTGAGGTGGAACAGATCGCGTGTGAGGAGGAAATGAAAGCTTACGGACAATCATAGAGCCAGCTAAAAACAACTACAGATCACTAGGAGCCCAAGCGATAAGAAATTACCTGGAAAGACAATCACTTAGTGCGAAATCGGTGATGTGAAAAACATAACCTCATAGATATTAGGTTCAGTGGTAAAGTGCTAGCTGACCATGCATGTGATCCGGAGTTCGAGTCACGACTGGCGCATACCTTTATGTGGTGATAGCAGGCTGCTAGACAATTGGTAGACATTAATCTACGTCAATGTCTACGTCACTAATATTGGTCGTGAGAAAATATGAACAAGGCTGATTCAACAACCAATCACAGCAGACTTAACGTGGGCAAATATGATTCACAGGCAGATGGCTCCACTTTTCAAGGAGACCCGAAACAACCAATCAGAAGCCTGTGTTTGTCTGCTTAACTTCCGAGAAACAACCAATCGGAAGACTGAATACGCTATAATAATGTACATGAAATATATATATATATAAATACGTGTTGATTTCCGTAATAAAACGATCTGTTGCCGGCCCTTGTCTTCTGTTGTTACATTTGGTGTCGCTGCCTACCGACAAATGGGAAGCCTATGCCCTGCAGTTTTTGATGGAGATATATGGATCTTCGGGCAGGACTTCAAGGCTTCTGAGTAGTTGAGTGGCGTTCAAGATCTGTCAGAGATGGAGCTGCTACTTGGGACGCTGCTGGGCGGCCGGGCGAAAGCAGCATATGAAAGTGTGAGCCGAAATACCGACGAATGTTCTACAGGGTCAGGCAAACAGTGTCCAAAGTGGGAAGGACCACATATGGTCACTTCGAGATGAGGTTACGCAGATACAATCGCAATGGTGAACAAGCCGGTTATAATCCTAACAAAGAGTGGAGATGTTGTTGGGTGTGAAGCTAGCAACCCCACCCCGTAAACAAAAACACCACTGCTACTGAAACTTCAAAGAGAAAGCTTGAAGCCCTCTGTTCAACAGTGAACGCAAAGGAATAAAGGAAACAATAAATTGATTTTGGACTAAAATTTGTCCTAATATCTTAGAGGAAGTTAGTCGCTATGATGCATTTTTCCAATTTGGAAGTGCATAGTGTAAATTCCTAATAACCACTCCTTTCAGATCAATTTATATCCACCTTTTTAGTGTCTTCTGTTAAGATGATATCTTTCAAGTGTCGCCTATTTATCTTGAGAATACCTTTCATCTACAAATGTGTAGTATATTGCTGAAGACGATAAATAAGTACAGTTATGGTAGTCATCACTGGTGAACGTCGTCCAACGGAAATAATAAATTCCCCGATAATTCCAAAAGCTTAAAACATGTTCTGTCCTCCTAGATAAACCACCTATCATTTTAAACCATAATGTAACAGTATCACCCGACTGAGAGTCATACGCAGTAACTAATAATAGAAGAAACACACAAGAATGAATATGAAGGTATGTAAATGCTGAAGCGTGATTTAAAAATATTAAATAAACTCGTAAACTCAGCATGACTTCTGTTTAGGTAAACGTAACCAGTAGAAACTGATGTTATTATTATGTAATAATATTAATTAACTATTAACTAACAGCACACAGCGACACAGTTAAAGAATATATAAAATCAATAATAGTCTCCAAACAGAAACAAGTTGGCATCATTTAAAGATATCCGTAGGTCATTCATATTTGGCAATATAAATTAGTATGAAAACTTCACTTATGGAAATGTAATGCAAACATTATCAGGGCGAGGCGCATGCATATAGCACACAGCCTTCTTCAAACCTTGCACACAACCATTAGGTCGCATACTATCCCATCGCCCTTGGCAGATCTGGCAACAAAAGTCACGAGAACACCATCAGAGCATATGACAGACTAGGTACCCCAGAAGGCAGAAGTTAGAATTCAAGGACCATTGGATCGGGTCCCAGTGGCTCAATGGTCTACGAGCTCGCCTTGTAACCAGAAGGTCCTGGGTTCGAATCCCGGTGGGTGCGTACTGCTGAAGAGTCCCAAACTAGGGCGAAACAGCTGTCCAGTACTCCCATGTTTTCCAGTGGTTCTCTAACTGATGTCAGCTCATGATTAAATCCTCCATGTAATGCAAACAGTTTATAAAGGCGTATCTTTGCATCGTGTTAAATAACAATATCATGTAAGGACTGCTTACATTCATCACAGAGGTACACATAGCATAAGTGAAACGTCTTGTAGTAATGTGACGTATTTTTAAGCGTTAAATAGAGAATGACAGAAATGAGTGGAAAGGTAAACTCATTAACCGCCTGCATTTTCCTTGCAGTTGGCTATGAGAGATAACTGACACTACCTGGTGGTAGCGGCCCGAAACCTCATCAGGTGGAGTTTGGTTCCTAATCCGTGATTCAGGAGTCGATAATGGAGCGCCAGTCCACCAAGCTACGGCTAATCAGACCTTGATAGGTCAACGTAATGTCGATAAGAAGTGGACATAATATGCTACGCCGTATCCAGAAATAACGCTAATAGTAATAGTCAAGATTTATGGGGTAGTTTAACGAACAAGTTGAATATAATTCGTAGATCACATGTAATATGACTTCGACGTGAGAAATCTTTGTTTACGAAGAAGAGCCCGTGCAACGCTCTGTATGTATGCATACATCTTGGGACTGTTGACATCACAATTGAACTTGGATTATTGTGTGCTATTCTACACATAACGTAACAGTTAGATCACAAGAGAAAAATGCCGCAAAGTTTAATCATTCCTGGTATGTTCTTAAGTTTCAACAATAATATCACAACAGTTCAGAAGGAATGTCCGAACCATTTCTTAATGCAACTGGACATTTGACAAATGTAAAGTGTATATCAGACATTCTAAAATTTATATTCATGGGATACAGGACACACCGTCAGACTTTTTCATCAGGTTGTCTAGTAGATCTATTTTCTACACTAACAAATCGTCAAGGCAGGCGGAAATATTTCCAACAGTACCACCACAATAAAATAATGTATGAACGATAATTGATATGAGTATAAAACTTGGGCACTGTGGTAGGGTATAACTCCATTATAAGATTTTATTTTGATAAATCACACAGTGTTGTACAGTTATATTAACTGATGACGTTTCGAGCACAAACTATTTCTCATAATCACATTAAGTCACTCACACCTATCACAGTTACACTCAATTATAATGATAATCCTCAACAGACCCCTACATGGTTGCATAAACCTGATGAAGGTTTTACGCAGTATTATACATGTACCATGAATTTCACTGTGCGTATACATTTGAATCGGCTAAATGCTAACCAGTCACATGCGCGGTCCAGGTTCGATCCCGAACCGATGCACTCTTAAACCCAAAGTGGATGGTTTCAAGGCCAATAAAGAAGGAAAATTGGATGGGGGTGTGTGTGTGCTAGCAATCCTAACCCATGAAAAACAACACAAACACTAGTGAAACCTCAAAGCTTCAGACTGAAGCCCTATCTTCCACTCAGAACGCAGACGAATAGGAATAAAGTAATCACTTCACGAAAGCTTAAAATGAATAGATTAAAATGTAACCATATTCTCAATAGTTGGTTCGTAAGGATTAGATTTGTTTTGACGAGTTGACCACAGATTATTATCAGTTAGAGAACCATTGAAAATCAGGGGTTACTGGACAGCTAGCTGTTTCATCCTAGTTTGGGAATCATCGGAAGTACGCATTCACCTGACCGGGTTTGAACCCACGACCTTCCGGTTACAAAGCAAGCTGGCTCGTATACCATTCAGCCAATAGGACCTGATTAAATGACCAGCCCATGAATTCTAACTTTAGCACGAAAACTGTCCAGTGCTCCCTAGCCTTCAACGGTTCTCTAACTGATATCAAGCCGTGATCAACTCGTCGTAACCATATTGGACTAATGTGCATATAATATATATTTATGATACGATTATCAGTGTGTTGTTAAAAAGTGTAATTTACATTTTGAAAGAGAAAGATCTCATCAAAAAGAGAAATAAACAATTTTACCTCTAAGTGTGAAGCACTCCGGTAAACTACTGTATTAATGATAGAGAGATTGACTGAATTATGCAGTCTTTATAATCGACAACTTCTTGTTTTCAATCCTTTATTTGTCTTCTAATCTATCAATTATTTGCAAATAACTATTCAACAGTTAATGACTTAGTTGTTGAATCGCTTGATTACGTAAAGATTATTCACTATTTTCATACACTGAATTGTTTTGTAACTAAATGTCAATTAGGATTATATATATATATATAAACCCCACTAACTAACTAACTAACTGACTACCTGTACAGCTTTGCAGTGGAGATAAGAAAAGGTTCTTCATTGGTTGGCTGATTTATATAGTTCTTAATTATTTATGAATAAATTATTCACAGTATAATACCGGTATTAATCAACACTATACGCTGATGGATCACAGGGAGAAAAATAGGAAAGTAAAAACATTTTACTCTATTCTCCCTTTATCATTCTATAGAAGGATGAACTATTTTTTCTCTTTTGACGAGTAATACATTTCAATAATCAGTCATCATTGATTGATTGAATAATTCTCTTTCTGTCTCTCTCTCTCACCCTCTCAAATTATACCATACTTTGTATTTAATTGGTGGATAGTGACTATCAGTGGGATCCAGAAGGCGCATTTCGCCCTATTTAGGACTCGTCATATGGATGCACCTGCATTTCTCAATGTTCCCACCGAGGCTCGATTCCACTGCTAGTCACCATCCACCAATTAAATACTAACTAAATGCCCAGACATCGTCGAAGCATCTGCTCAAGAAGCCGACATGTCAACCTGAGACCGAGCACTTCGGTCTAATCAATCGATGGGAAAATCTCAAATTCAATTAAATATATCATACTTTCTCTAAAATACGAAATTTTCCGAAATGAAAATCTCATAATCTAAAATTACTGATCACTAACTGACTGACATTATGGCTTTTTCTTAGGGTGCCTGCAACAGAAACAGTATATTAGGATTGTATGACCGCAGAGTCCAGGAGGCAACTGCTTGATACCGGTAACACACACACAACAGGCGGATACACACCGCCCCAAGGCAAATCAAGATGTACAATTTCGAACTTTCAAACCCACCTCCGTTTTCAGAGCGAATAGGCAGGGTATCTGCCATGCTGGGCGCATCTGCTGCCACATCTCGATTCCCAGAAGTAAGATATATATAGTGTGAATAACTATGATGCCTACTATTTTTAGCCTCACCGGTATCCAAACAACTTTTCTGGCCTGGAAGGACTTGCAGGAATCTTCGTTCCGGCTAATTTGGTTTATTGGGTCATTGTGACATGCAAACCTGACCACCAACGTCAAGGCGGTAGTCGCCATCGGTCGCGACTTATCACCCTAATGTTCACAGTTATTTACTGATTGAGTCAAAATTTGTAAACAATTCCGAGACAGTTTAGAGAGAGAGAAAGGAAAGATGATAGTCTAAGCTTTAGTTTTGCATACCAAGAAACTAGTTCAACTGTTCTCTCTCTCCCTCCTATTCTTAGCCATAATTCATTTTTATATTAATTTATTATTCACACAACTCAGACCTTAACTAATATCACAGCGTTTTACATTTCCACCATGCTTATCATGATGATGATCATGACGATGACCATTAATAATAATAATTCATTCCTCAAGCACTTTGTCTATAATAGTTCATCTTCAGCATGCCTCCCTCCCCACCACCACCATTGTCTATGTTATTTTATTTTTGAGTACAGCTTGATTCCACACCGTATTTTTGGTACAAGTGTGGAATTTTCAGCGTGGATATCGGTAGCCCAAAATTCGCAGGCCGACCATAGATATCAAGTGTGCGTCGGCGTGGGCTCGAACCCCGGACCATGTGCATGGCCGGCGAAAGTCCTAACCACTGTGCCACCGACGCACAGTCTTCTGATTTATACTCAACCAATCATTAATAAACTTCGCATTTATCCCTACTAGTTACGATAGATAACTGCGATTGTTCAGCTATGATAAAGTAAGGCAAAAATGAATTCATCATTCTAATAAATACATCTCTCTTTGTTGAATCGCATGTTTTCTCTTTCAAAATGATAATGAGGATGAATATTAGTAAAAAAAAAAATAACAAACAAACAAATAAAATGAAAAATGTGAATAAACAAAACCGAGAACAACAAAACAGAACATAACAAAAAAAAATGGCAACAATCCTAACGACAACAAAGAATGTATGTATTCACAAATACAAATAATTAGGTAGATAGTTAGGTGTATTTAACAAAATCACAGCAAACGAACAAAGGAAGAAAGAAAAGCAACAAGTATTCGACTTACAAAAATCACTTGGTTTCGCTTGAGATAAATCTTTGTAGAAATCCGTTCGATGTGCCTTTTTCAAGCCTGTACATAAACCGAAATCGCTAAGTTTAATATGACCCTTGAGTGTGTGTGTGTGTGTGTATAGACGTATGTGTAATATGCACAGATGTGTATTGAATCCGTGTTTCAATTGGCATTCGATGTGTACAGAGTAGACGGAGTAATACGGTGGTGGTCATGGTAATGCAGGTGTGTTTAGGAGTAAAAAAAGGAGAAGAAGAGAAAACAATGGGATGAAAACAAATAACACCAATATATAACAAAAATATATCCCTAAAACAGATAAACACACCTTAATCAAACGGGAGGATATCTAATACTTGAAAAAACAACAACAAAAATAGCCTAAGGCCCACCTATGCTACTAAATACAAATAAATATGTACACGTCGTCCATATATATATATATATATATATATATATATAGTACACCGACAGAGAGAGAGGACTTCGGTTGCTTGTTAAAGGCTATCAACAAGATGCCTTATATCATCGATGCAAAAAATATCTTTTGCTCCCTTTGTGGAAATGAGATGATAGCCTTTCATATTTTTTTCAGTGACTAACGGCCTTTGTGAATTGGCCATACTGTGAGGAAACCATCAAGTGACATCACTAGACAAGCCATTGATTGAGTGGAACCCGAAAGGGAAGCGGCGAGTTGGTCGTCAGTGCAAAGGTGACTTGGAGGACGTCATGTGAAGAGGAGATGAAAACATGTAGGCAGACTTGGAGTCAGGTGAAAACTCTAGTAGAGAAACGAACGCAATGGAGACACGCGGCTGAAGCCCAATGTTCCTCTAGGAATTAAAGGAAATAATAATAAGGGCGTTTGCTGAGCTATCCACTTTAATATACAGAAAAATGTACGATGTGATAACACGTCCTGGTCCCCCACCCCACAGTTAGATGACCGCATTATAGAATTTTACTGACGCGATTCATTGAGTAGATAGAATTGGATAGTAGGACATGGATTACTCTACACTGACACAGATGTATGCGCATCCAAAGGCGATATAGAGGAGATCGTCTGAGGAGTAGATGAAAACTTAGGCGTAATCGTGCAGTCAGCTCAAAGGAAAAAGTAGAGAACAAAATGAAATGGAGATGTACTGTTGAAACCCTCTACTCCCAAAGAAATCATAATAATAACGTACATGTTAACCATAAATTATCCAAACTTCTTCGAGATAACTACTGTATATGCTAACACTTTTAGAGATTAGTCAGTTTGTTGGGAATTCGTTATCCCGAACAGACTTTTTCCGTACCCAGAGCTGACGGCACTATTCAACTGACCGACCTGAAGAAGATGACGTGGGATTCGAAACTGGGAGTTGCTATTTGAAAGTCATGTGCTGACGCTAATCAACCACATCTCCAGCAATCAGTCAAATAAAGTTACTTTATTCAAAGTTAACGGATTCACTTTTCTTATATATCTCACTTGTGTGTATGAACATGCATACACATTGAATATTTATTGAACAAGATGACTATTAAACATAATGGATCTCTTCTCACAATGAATGATAGAACATTTTACATTCTACAAACAGCTATATTTTTTTTTCCTTCACGTTCCCCAGTGGAACATAGGGCTTCAAGGTAGAAGACTTGAAGTTTCTGTAGCAGTGTTTATTTTTACAGGATGGGGGTGCTAGCCTCATGCCCAACCTTTCCTCTTTACCAGCATTATTTCTGGCTTAGCAAGGTAAAGGAGTGCGTCGAACCCCGGACCATGTGCATGGTTGGCGAGCGTCCTAACTGCTATGCCACCAACGCACAAAAGAATTAGAACTGATAAAACAGGGACCGTGTATCCAGTTGATAGATTTCAGTTCAATAATTTGACAAGTCAATTAAAATGACCTTATTTTATGACTTCACAAAAGTAAGCTTGCTACATAGATTTTATTTTCAGCATTTCATCTTTCATTTTAAATGTCAGTCACACTATTCAACACTCTGCAGGTGAAAAACTATCGCACGACTTTTCACTTTGTAGAGATTAATAAGCACCTATTGAATCCTATTTACGATGGCAGGAGATAGTTTGCTCACTAATTGAAATAGTGAGACATATATAAGGATATTTTATTCTTTACGTAGATTTGGTCAAACTTAGACTTCAGGAGAGAAAACCACGCAAGGGTTAACAACAACTGCAACTGAAAAAAATACCTTCACGTTACGAGGCGAACACGTTGACAACTCAGACATTGGGTTGGAGTCCAATGACTGAGGATTTAGACAGAATCATTATACTTCTAGAGTAGAAAGACACACTCATCCGGTGGTACTTGATTTTTAATAATTCAGCAGACCGATGTCAGTTCGTAATAAAATCCACATGGAACTTCCTTGACAAGCGTTCCAAGGTTCAACAGTTCTTTCTAAATGTCTTTATTTTCCAAGTGGAAGTTTATGCAGCGATGGTATTGCTAGTCTAGACGAGGTTTTAGGAGTGCATTCGCCGGGAATAGAACCCGGAGCATATGTGCGGTTGGTGGGTACTTTATTCTTGTGTAGGGATCATGAGTGTCTTATTGCATAACTTAGTCACTTCCACTTATTTCAGAAATATGCAGGTCAGTTGGTCAGAAGCTTTTTATAAAGAAAAATAATCACTCTCCTCCATTGATGTGATAATAACGCTCACTTCCCCATAGAAATATTTACCGGAAACCTAGTTTTTTTATTTTGATTGCAGCTTGATTCCATACCGTATTTTTCGGTACAGGTATGGAACTTTCAGCATGTGATATCGGTAGCCCAAATTTTGCAGGCCTACCATAGATATCAGGTGTGCGTCGTCCGGGGATCGAATCCCAGACCATGTGCATGGTCAGCAAGAGTCCTAGCCACTGTGTCACCGACGCCTAACAGTGGAATTCAAACAGTGAATGAATAAAATTCAACAAAAGGGGAAAACCATTTTAACCTCTCAAAGAAAGAGGAGGTGTACATAAAAAAAACATTAAAAAGAAAATAATCTGCTCACTTTTGCATCAAGTAGCAAATTATCCGGTTTAATATCACGATGAATGAAACCCATTTTATGAATTGAATCAATAGCTAGAACAGTTTCTGCTATATAGAACTGTGTTTGAGGCTCTGTCAGTGTATCACGTTTCATTAACAATGTCATCATATCACCTAAGAGAGAGAATGAAATATATTTAAAAATATGGATGTATAATGAGTTAATTATACATATACATACATACATAAAGGATATACAAAAATTAGATATTTTACGATATATATTACCTATTTATTTACACTTATATGAACTGCTGCTGGTCTAAGTAAGCTAAGCAGGTAATACATTAACTAGTACATATATATATTCAAGCTGTTCAACAATTCTCTTCAAGGGATAAAGAAGACAGTTAAAGTGATTTGCCAATTAATACATCATCACAAGTAAAACAAGTGAGGTTGAAATTATTGCACAGTGGTTTATTTTATCAATCAACACAAATTAATTGAAAAGCAAAATGATTCCAGCTGTGTACAGCACTGAAAAACATGTTCATTTTATTATTACATTATGGTTTTTTGATTTTAAAAACAGAAAGGGGTTCAGCATTCATTTCATCATCATCATTATCATTATTATCGGAAAACTCACTAATGCGCCTACTAATAGGATAATCTTTTAAACTGGATGAGAAACACTGTGTTCGCATGTATATATATATATATATATGTGTGTTAGAGAGAGAGAGAAAGAGTTGAAGACACTTCACAATTAATTAATTTGAGTTCTTAGATAATATGGTCGTTTCACATATGAAGATGAACTATTAAAGTGCACTATCACTTAAACTTCATGAGCAAAAAGCCCTATGCTTGTGTTTAGGGCGTGTTTCACAATTTTTAACTATGAAATGACTCACCATACAAAGATAGAACCTGTGAAACCCTCATAGAAACAAGTTACGTCGGTTAAAAAATTCCAGTCCAAGTGGCTTAATGGTCAACGATGTTGACTTTGTGGCCTGAAGGTCCTGAATTCCATCCCTGATGGAGTTGTGTACATGTGTACTGATGAAAAGTCGCAAGCTAGGACGAAACGGCTTTCCAGTACTCCGTCGGGGTTTTCAATGTAGTTGTTTTTTTTAACTGACATCAACCCGTAATCAAATTTAAAACAAATCAAATCCCTGCAAACCAACCATCGGAAATAATTTAGCCTACCTAACAACAACCTACAATGACTGTGAAGTCAAATATATAAATAAAAAAGGGGGCCGATGTCAATTAGATTAGCGCAGGACAAAAACAGATAAGAAGTTTAGAAAAATTGTCACCTATAGTATTTTATATGCGTCGGTGGCACAGCAGTAGAATGTTCGTCAACCGCACCCCATGTGGTCCGGGGTTCGATCCCCTGCCGACACACTTCTATACCTCGCTAAGCCAGTAAATAGGACTGGTAAAGAGGGAAGGTTGGGCATGAGGTAGCAAACCTGTCCCGAAAAAATAAACACCAATGATACCGAAACTTCGAGCCTCTAGCTTGAAGTCCTATAGTTCCACTGGAAGTTACACTATACAACTGGGTGGAACAAGATGACAGTTTTAAAATCTAATATAACACAGAGGGAGGAAGAGGTTGATAGCTAAAGTTTTATTTATCGAATCAAACGAGAATACGTGTCATTCAATACTTGTCCCGGACATCTGGGAAATTCCCTATCCTTACGACTAAACGGGGAGGAAGAGCAAAAGCTATCAAAATCAAGTTCCGAAATTGTGTAGTTATCGCTCATATGAAAAATAAATTGTATTCGAAACATCATCCAGCAAATAATACTGACACGCCAAAAAAACACATTTAAATAGAATGAAGTGATTGGTCTGCACTGAAGTTTAGTTTATACACGGAGAGTGAAATAGTTGAATGCGTTGATTTCTTCACCTATTTGGGCAGTCAGTTTTTTATTCCTTCAAGCTTTCCCTTTGAAGTTTCAGTAGCAGTGGGGTTTTTCTACGGCGTGATGTTGCTAGCAACAAGCCCAACTTGCCATCTTTGTTGGGATTATAACTGGCTAAGGGAGGTAAGGGTGTGGATCAGTCAGGACTCAAACCCCGGACTACTACCATGGTCAGCCAGCACTTTACCACTGAATCAACGACGCACATTTGAGCAGCCACATAGACCTGAATACACGAATACAAAATGTACATTTCCCATCGACCAACTTGAGTCAGCATATCCTGTTGCCTATAAAAAGGGCACATATACTACCGAGATTATAGAATTCTTTCCCTACATCGCAGAGATGACATCACGAAGTAAGTAATGTTACAGTCAGACTACAGTGTTGAGGAAGGAATGAGGGTAGGTCAGCCAATAGGATTACAAAGCTTCATTGACATTTTTAATTTTGAGTTAGCTTAAATAATTACTACCCTTGGAAATCCACCATTCATAATCAGAAAATTTTACATGAGCAATCAAGATTTCATTTGTACAGGAGGCATCTGAACGTGTGATCTAGTGTTTGTAAAACTTGGCAATGCTAATCCAACCGATTACACAATACCATTCATTATGTGAAATAAAACAGCTGAGATGAAAGTGATATACTGTCTAAAAATATGCAGCCAGAAATGAACAGCAAAAAAGTAAGAGGAAGAAGAATTGTTAACATTGGGAAGTACTTTGGAGGTTATTGGCCACCCTGAAAGACAGTCAAGATACACCCCACCCCCAGTGGTGGTGGTGATGGTAGTCGTGTCTCCATTGTTATTGCTCACTAATGCTTTACCATTTCTTCTCTAGGTTTTTCTGTGTATTAAGCAGGATAAGAAAGTTTAACTATCTGAACGAAAGTTAATCAAATGGATCAACACTGTTTTTCACTCAAACTCTACTATTGTGGCGTGTGCTACTGATAAGATTTATCAGTAGTCTATAAAGAGTAATGCATTAGCATAAAAATATCAAATAGCGGAGAGATTGATATGAAGTCAAGAGAGGCAATGATTCACCGTTTTGGCAAAACTTGTGAGACACGAAAAGAAGGCAAAGAAACACAATACTAGGGGGGGGAGAAGTAACACAGCACGGAATATCTATGGAATTGGTTATTTGAAGATAAGGTGTACATTCTTTTATCAAGTGTCTCTTGTCTTCTATCGTTACAATACGAGTATACTGAATAAACAGAACAATGTCAAGATATGACGACTGACTGTTGCCTAGTTTGAGTCTTGCACCGCAATAAATACGGATAACAAAAAAGGTGCATACAGGCTTTAATTACTCAAAACTGTAGAAAATTTTCAGGCTGAATACCACTCACTGAATATGCGATTCATTTTAGTGTCTGAATACTACTCACTGAATATTAAAAAACGGAAAATAAATGAAGAGATAAAGTAAAAGCATCCTTTCATGTAGACATGAACAAAAGCTAGTCCTAAGCTCTAGGTAAAGAGAAGACGCTGGGTGTGAGACTGAGGACCCTAGTCCAGAAAAACAACCCAATCACTACCGGAAGTTCAACACACAGAAAAAAAATTTGTATGTTATTAATTGGCAGAAGTTAGCATTCATGGTTTGGCCATTGGATAGGGTCCCTAGTTGCTTAATGGCCTACGAGCTCGCCTTGTAACTAGAAGCTCCTGGGTTCGAATCCCGGTGGGTGCGTACTGAAGAAGAGTGCCAAACTAGGACGAAACGGCTGTCCACTACTCCCCATGTTATCTAGTTGTTCTCTAACTGATGTCAGCTCATGATGAAATCCCACAACTAAAATTTTTTTTAAAGAAAATACACTTATTCTTCAATGGATTCAGAGAGGCTTACAAGAAGCCAGTCCGCAGATATGTCTTCTTTCGGTAAAAGCATAAATGAGTATCGGGACATAGAATGCACGACTCAGAGACTTAGCAAGTCACTAAAAACATTTCGAAAAGGTTTCAAACTCTTACCAGCAGCTGATCCTTTCACTCTCTACCGAAGACCAAAAACAATCAGGAACAAGAAAAATCTAGGAATGAACCAACACCAAAAAACTATTACTCAACAGATATGACGAAGAAAAAGGAAATGGATCGGAGACACGCTAAGGAGACCTTTGAGTAGCATCGTGCACCAAGCACTCAAGGGGAACTCAACGAGTTAAGCATCCGGAGGTGACATGGACGCCACAATGTCAAGGGAATGAAAGCTTATGGACAACCGTACAGCCAGCTAACGACAGAATGAAACAGTGATGTTTCAATGAAGCCCTAGGTTGCACTACAAATTCAACAGACGAATAATAATAATAATATTAGTATTATAATAATGCACCATGTGATGCAATTTGTAAATTTACAAGTCAGCATAAAAGAAAAGATATTAGTCATTTCTCTGTATATATTAACACCTTCGAACATTAACATAAGACTTAAGGCTTTTTTATACTGATCTTTGCATAATGTAGTATATTTACATAAAAACAGAGTACACCTACACACAGACACGCACACACACACACACACAATGAATTAAGGCGCTACTCAGTGTATGCATATATCCATTTTTTGGAGAGAGAGAGAGAGAGAAAAAAAAACCATGCAAGATACACGTATAGTCTGCACTTATGCTTGCATGCGTAATAAATATTTACTATTTTTTTTAAAATTAGAAAAATCCGATTGTGCAATCCTACCAATCAATCAATCAATCAATCATTCGATCAAATCACCAGATATTGATATCGACCGATGAATGATTCGACAAAATGAGAAAGACACGAATAACCATTCATTATTTATTCACATTTCATTAATTCAGAAGGCATCAGTGCACATCACAAAATGCACAATAACAAACATAAGCTTTCACGAACGGCTTTCCTCATCTAAGTTGGAACTCATGGGTGCATTGACACACAATAAAAGAGTGTAAAGTTGTTTAAGTGAATTCTTTATTTCCTGTATATTGATTATATTGGACCAAAATGTTCAGTCTGCCTCTCTCTCTCTCTTTCCCTCTCTCTGTTGACACGTCGGCTCAATCCTAGTACGGATGCTTTACCGATGTTTGAGGACTATCATGAAGTTATTTGTTGAATGGTGACTACCAGTGGAATCCAGGATGCGCACATTTCGTATCTTTTTGACACTCATCAACTGAATGTATGTGCAATCCT